CCCTAGAGCCTGGCAATTTGAACTCAGACTTCTATTCTTCCAAACTCTAAAAGAATAAACTCCTGTTTGTTCAAGCCATCCCATTTGTAGTAATTTTTCTGTTAGTGTAGTACCAGCTAACCAAAACAAGACCCAACTCTACTTGCCATCATTTCACGGCAAGTGTCTTCTCTAGGCTTTCCATACATCTTGGGGGTTTCTGCCTGTTTTGTTCATGTCACATCTCCTCTGAGGATGCCTTGCGATTCCTCCAATCAAGTTCCATCTGTAGTGCCCTCCATTTTTATAAAGCCTCTTTTTGCTACACCACCATTCCCTGGAAACTTTTCTCTTTAAAATTCCTAAAAACTCATCTGTACCACACATTTGGCTGGAACTGAACATTGTCCTATTCTGTTATACAGGTCACAAAGATTTGCATGCTGTCTATCTGCCAAGCGCTTACTCCAGTGTTCCAACTGGAGCTGAGGAAGAACATCTCCCTGTCGTTAAAATATTCAACATGGGTTTATAATAAAATTCCAGTGTTTCACAATTTGAATCAAGTGGTACCCAAATTGCCAGGTCAAAAACATAACATTCAGCAACACTACCTTCATCTACTCCTTACTGCTATTATCTCCCAGCATTCTAATTCCTTCACCCTCAACCAAACAAAATCTTGTCACTTGGCTCAGTCTTCACCTCTATATGCAGCGACCATCCAACAGCAATGTTGGTCTTTCAGTTCCATGACTTACTCATCTAAGTCAGGCCTCCTATTCCCACGGGTAGCTCCCAAAGGAGCTGAAATCCTGGAATCACTAATTTAAACATCTTTTTCCCTGTATGGAGCTCTGGTAGTGCTGTGGTTAAAGTACTGGGCTGCTAACAAAAAGGTCAGCAGTTTGAATGCACCAGCTGCTTGTGGGAGACAGATGAGGCAGGCTGCTTCTGTAAAGCTTTACAGCCTTGGAAACCCAATGGGGCAGTTCTACTCTGTCATCCTAACAGGGTCACTATGAGTTGGAATCAACTCAATGGCAGTTAGTTTTTCCTATACAATTTTTTTTTTTCCTTTCAATTTGCTTTGTTAAGTAGCCCCCCTTGACAGTTCTTCACCAGGTACCTCTAGCTAACTCATCCTTATATTTTCTTTCCAGTCATTCACAGCCTTTTTTACTTCCTTCACTTTCCAGAGTCCATCATTTTAATCCCCATGTTTTTAGTATCCTAAACTCTACTATCGTATGACCTGTCTCAAAGCCCTGAAAATCCCCTGACTGAGGGGACATCAAGCTCAATTGGCATAACATACTACATACACAAAAATGTTCCACATCTTAACTTTGGTTAGTAGCGACTGGGATCTTAAAAGCTTGCAAGTGGCCATCTAGATGCAATAATAGGTCTCTCTTCATCCAGAGCAAAGAAGAATGAAGGAAACTAAAGATACATGGAAACAATTAGTCTAAGGGATTGGTACACCATGCAATCCTCAGCCTATATGACTATGAGACCAGAAGAACTAGATGGTACTCCGTTACCACTGTCAACCACTCGGAGGGGAATCTATGCAGGAGATCCTGGATAGAGTGAGAGAACAATATGGAACAAAACTCAGAATCATTAAAAAAAAGACCAGGCTTGCTGCTCCAATAGAGCCTGGTGGAACCACTAAGCTAGGGCAGCCCCTAGCTGCCCGTCAGGTCTGGAATTGAACCCACTCCCATTGCTTCCAGCCAAACAAAAGACAGGCATATGAGCTGAACATTTACATTAGGTTGATACACTCCTTGGAGAGATCAATCATAGGAGAACAGAGGGGCTGTGTATGCACAGGGAGACAGCTCAGGGGGCAGGAGTGCATGGGAGGGAAGGACACAGGGAAGAGGTGGCTATGGGGAGGAAATGGGAGGGGAGCTGTTGCACTGTGGGAGAATACAGTCAATGTCATGAGACAAAGTGTATATGAACTATATGGAAGATGAATCTGCTCTGTAAACTTTCACCCAAATCACCATTAAAAAAAAAAAAAAAAACCTCTGACTGAGGAAGAAACTGTGTGCATATGGGTAGCTAAGTATGTCTAGAGAAAAATGTACACTGGGCTGACTGGAAGCAGACCAACTCATGAAAAGTTACCAGAACCCTGCTCAAAAGCTTAGATCTCCAACTCCTGTAATGACAGTATCAAGCCTACACTGATCTTCCAATATCCAACTCTTATTCTCAACCCTTGGTCTTACCCTGAGTTTGCTAAGAAAAGGAAGGCATTAGATGAACCTGTTTTCATCTATCACTTCCCACACACATTTATCTCAACTAAAGTCTCTTTTTCTTCTTATGACACAGAACTTTTCTCCTATCAAAATGCCCTGTGTTTTGGATGGCTTCTTTGCCCTGAAAGTCAGATACAGGAGCCAGTCAGCACTGGACAATACGTGCTCAACAAACCATTTTTTGCCTCAGTTGATGTCTCTGTGCTACTTTGCTCTTTGTAGCCCACAGACTGATTCTTTGGCAACTGCTAAAGAACATGTCAGGACTTGCTGTGTCAAATGAATTAAGTGAATAAATAAACAGGGAAGGGGGAGGAGAGAGGAGAAAACAAGGGAAAGATGAAAGAGGCAGTTACTCCTGAGTACGGGGTATCAGGAACAGCCAGTCTCAGTTTTGCTCACAAGAATAAAGGCATTACAGATGGATGCAAGAAATGTGAATCACGTGCTATTGATGCTAGTATCAACATGATTTAATTATTCCAAGTTAAAAAAAAAAATGACAGACACTGGTTTACCAACATGATTAATTTCCAAATACTTAACATATTAAACAAACAAATAGTCAGCCACTGAGGGAGAATGTGAATGTCTATCTTTATGATACTCCAAGCTCTCTCATCATTTCTTTCACATGGACATTAAGTTCCCTTTTATATGAGTAATTTTTTCTACTATTCACAATAGTGCTTTTAGTTCTTATCCTCCATGAAGCTTTCTTCAATCCCCTGATACAGAGCCAGGGACTCCTTGCTTGTCAATGGATGAACTGGTTAGGGCATGCATCCCCATATACCAAGATCCACATTCACATGCTCAGTCACCCCCACTAAGCCTCGGAGACCTAAGCAAATTCACCACCATTTTTCCACACCCAGCAAAATTCCTAAGAATTCGAAAGTGTTTGTGGAATGAATGAATGAAAGGATGAGCACCAGAGGAGAAATGTCTAAAGGATAGATGAAGCATGCAGGGAACTTTATTTTCAATTTTAAGACTGTCCATACATCTCTTTCTCATTCACACCCAGGTACTCCCTTGTAGCCCCCACTCATCCTCTCTTTGAAGGTCCGTAGGTACCCAACATCTCATCTCAGCAATCTCTTGACTGCAGATGATATTCTGCACTTGTCGATCAATCACAGCTAGTCTTACCAGGTTGAAGAAAGTGGCAGGTGCTTCCGCCTACCCTGTGAGAGCACCTGGACAACTCACCTGGTCTGCTGGCAGACACAGCAGATCCAGACCTTCTCTTGCTTCTGGTAGGAGCAGCAGTTCTTGCAGACATTGAACTTGCAGTCCCCACAGCGGCGCTTGGTGTTGACAAGGAAAGTGAAGGGAGAGCAACAGCGCATGCAGCAGTGTTCTACAAACTTCTGGTGCTTGGAGAGGATGCTGCACTTGCTGCCTTCCTCATCCAGCTTCTGTTTCATCTCACTGAGGGGTGAAGGGAGAGAAGAAGAGAAACACCACATCAGGTCAGGGACTCTCCCCTCCACGTACCTTCCCTGTTCCTCCCAGAGGCCAAGCTGTCTTGGAAGATCATTTGCTTGACTATCCAGCCTATCTCGAATATCCAGAAAGGAGTTATAATGGATTAATTTTGTGTACTTCTAAAAGTAATATGTTCTACTAGGAAGCACAGCAAACATTATTTATATTTCAGGGACTGTTGTTGTTGTTGTTATGTGCCGTCGAGTCGGACCTGACTCATAGCAAACCCTCCTTGGGTTTCCAAGGCAGTATCACTATGGAAGTAGATTGCCCAACCATCCTTCCAAGGAGTGGCTGGTGGGTTTGAACCGACAGCCTTCTGATTAGCAGTCATGTGCCTTAGGCACCACACTACCAGAGCCCCTTTTTTAGGGACTAGAGTGGGACAAAAAATATTATAGAACTAGGGCAACTGTGAGTTTGAATCGAATTGCTGGCAGTGGTAAGCACATCCTTGGAAAGCCAAACCCTTAATTTAGTTAATGCCTTTTCAAAGGAACAGAGATCATGTGTGTTAAAATATTAATCCTCATAACAGCCCTGCTGGATATATGATAAATGCAGTCCTACAGAGGCATATTTAAGGTATGACAGTGCCCTGGGCACCACTTGAAAAGGGGAATGCCACTGAGTAGTTTCTATTAACCATTGTTGTTTTCATCTCCACCTGTGAGAGATCATTCAGCAAGTTAGCTAATACTTTTGTATTTGAGAGCCTCCATGAGTCAAGGGAGACCAAGTGATCATGCTCGGCTGAGTGTAGACAGAGAAGATACTGAAAAAAATGACTGTGAGGACATAATAGACCAATTTTCAACAGTGAAAGCAAGAAGTTGCAGGTTTAATTTAACTGTAGTGCCATAATGTGTTTAAAAAAAATTAACAAGCTTGACTTATATTTTTGAGCTGATAATCATGGTAAAGTTATCTATAAGACGGGTGTCAGATGTTTGGACAGGGGGCAAATTCAGTGCTTGCCATATACATGATTTTCCACAGATAAGCCTTTGCAGTCTTGGCCCTATTTATCACCCCTGGAAACTAAAACACCCAGGGATTTAAAAACTTTCAAACAATTTGTGTCAATACAGATTCTATGGGCAATGGGCAGATCCTAGGCACTGATGACTCAGAGTTAGGTAAATGACATTTATTTCTCTTCTACCTAAGAGTTCATGGCATGTCTAGCACACAGCCAGCCATATCAACACAAAACACGAAGTTCCATACATTTCTCTCTGCACTTAGTGAGAAGGAAAGGAGAAAACTTGAGATAAAGATCCCAAAGAGAACCAGTGACCAGGGAAGAGAAAAGAACTCGAAGTCAGCAACTTACTCTGAAGTGGTTAAGTTTGTCTGAGTTGTTTTTTCTGCTACCAAAATGGGGGCCCACAAAAGTAATTGTTGGTGTTGTAAGGTGCTGTCAAGTCAGTTCTGACTTTGTTATTGTGCTATTCATACTAGATGCATCCGTGATATACTTGGTAATATTTTCTCTTAGCCTGCACTTGTCTTTAAACTTCGCTTATAGTGTCTGTCATCATTTAGAAATGTTTAAGTTTTCTATAGATAAGTCTGCCAGTATTTTCCGTTATACCTTTTTTTTTTTTTTTTTTAATCTTGCTTAGGAAGGCCTAAGCAGGTTGTATAAATAGGAAGGCCTAAGTAGGTTTTATAAATACTCAAATAGCTTTTTTTTTCTTCTTCTTCTGAAAACTAAACAAAAACTTCCTTTAATACTATGTCCTCATTTAGTTACTACCTTATAACCCTCTCTGGTGCTGCACTGGTCAAAGAATTCAGCTACTAACCAAATGGTCAGCAGTTCAAAGCCACCAGCCATTCTGCAGGAGAAAGATGAGGCCTTGGAAACCCTATGAGAAAGTTCTACTCTGTCCTACAGGGTCACTCTGAGTCAGAATCAACTCAGTGGTAGTGAGTTTTTTGGGTTATAACCCTCCTCCATCGTAAAACTGACATTCTTGAAAACTGTCCATGGTGGTATCTCTATGTCCTCTCTTGTCATTCACTTCTGAGTTTACTCCAATTTGGCATTTGTTCCTTTTTATTACAGGAAATAGAAGTTCTGCTCAAGCCCCCCAGTGACTTCCATGTTACTAAATCCAAAAGACCTTTTCAGTCCTCATCCTAGTTAACCATTCCACCATTCTCAGAACACTCTCTTCTCCCTGTAATGCCATATTACCCTTGTTTTCGTCATTCTTTCTCTGACTCCTTTGCTAGCTCATCCCCCTATGTGGGGGTCTTTAAATGTTAGACATGTTTTTAAAGGTATGATAAAAATATTTATTCACTAATGAAGATTACTTTCAACATTTCCTGACAACTTTTAATGAGTATTAGTTTGCTGGAGGCATGGACATTGTGTAATTAGAGGAGATGGTCCTCTTGCCACCCTACCTCTCTCTGTTGTTGATGTTGTTGTCATGTGCCGTTGAGTCGGACCCGACCCATAGCGACCCCTCCTTGGGTTTCCGAGGCAGTATCACCACAGAAGTAGATTGCCCCATCTTTCTTCTGAGGAGTGGCTGATGGGTTTGAACCACCAACCTTCTGGTTAGCAGTCAAGTGCCTTAGGCGCTATCACTTATCTGCTCATTGGAATAGCCAATCTCAAGGTGTGGTAGGTGATGGACATTTAACACAAAGGTTTAAGGGATGTGAAGGTGATGGGAGAGCATCCTAGCTTCAGACAGAACAGAAAACAGCTTTAAGTTGGAATACTAGCTTTCACTGCAGTTCAAGACACTCAACCATCTCTGCCTTTAGGGTTCATAGAAAGGCCCTGTCAATGGCCATGTTGCTGCCTTATCTCTGCTCATCCTGACCACTCTCTCTCCCTCTCTTCTCTTTTCAGAGTCCTCCATGGTCCCAATCAGAGGAAAATTATCAAAATCCAAGACTAAATGGTAAACAACAGCTACATAAATGGTAATCAGCCTTGCCCAACACACTAGGCATGAGAGTGAATTAATCAGGACACAAGTAAGCAAAAGAAGAAAAATATTACAATTATGTGAAATTTCTACTGCTCAGAGGTCTCAGAGTTGCATATCCATCCTCTTTTTTCTCTTTCCTCTTCCTCCCATCTTTCCTTTTTTGCCTCTTTTTCTCCTTCTCCTGTGCTATATTTAAAAACTGGGACTCATCTGTATATAAACCAAAAAAATACCAAATTCACTGCTGTCAAGCCAATCCAACTCATGGCAACCCCTCCTTGGGTTTTCAAGGTGGTATCTCTACAGAAGTAGACTGCCCAATCTTCCTTCTGAGTGGCTGGTGGGGGGTTTGAACCGCCAGCCTTCTGGTTAGCAGTCAAGTGCCTTAGGCACTACGCCAGCAGAGCTGTCTTGATTTTGAAGTCTAAAAAAACTCCATTTTTGTTTAGGCTTTCAAATGTATTGGTATTAAGTGGTTCACATTTTCTCTCATGATTTTAATATTTAGTGCCAACAACTCCAAGGTTGAGGGGCTTTTACCCAGATCCTAGAGCCTGGCACTTTGAACTTGGACTTAAAGCCTCCAAACTGTAAGAGAATAACAAACTTCTGTTTGTTAAGGACATCCCATTTGTGGTATATTCCTCTCAGAGTGGCACTAGGTAACCAGAACAACACCCCATGTGGGTTCAAACCACCAACCTTTTCAATAGCAGTTGAGCACTTAACCATTTGTGACACCCAGGGACTCCTCTTAAAGAAAAGGAGCTAGAGGCATTTCTTCACTCAGACAGCTGCTGGCTGCTGAGGCTGAGGAGCCCCAAAGTTGACATTTAAAAAGGCACAGTCCTGATGTTACCAAACCATATGGCAAGCCAGTACCTTAAGTCCGTTGTAAGTCCCAAGGTCAGCAGAGCATAGTAGGGTACTGAGCAATGACCCAGCTACATGCAGGGTCCAAGCGTGCCATAGGCCAGAGACCATTCCCAAGGCTTCTCCTTATATACAGGAAGCAGACTACATCCCAAAGGCAGCTACTCAGCTGCTTGTGGTAGATCCCACCATGGAACTGATTGCTAGTCTCATCATGGGGAATAACTACCACCAGCTGCCCAGCCACTCAACCAGGCCTAGCCAAGTTGACACACAAACATAACCACCACAGGAGTCATGATCGAAAGGCCAGGTGATACACTTACAAAAGGTTACAACCTTGAAAACACTATGGAGAGGTGGAAACAAGATGGTGCAGTGCTAATACTCTCCACCTAGCCCCTCTATAATAGAGACCTAGAAAAACTTAGTGAAACAGAAATAATGATCTTGGAATTCTGAGCATCTAATGAGAACATAAAAAATATTAGATTGAGCGCTGACTGGAATGGGAAATAGAGCAAAGTTCATGACTGGAGACAGGAAAGAAGCTGGGACCAGACAAAGCATAACAATTTTAAAAACAGAGCCAGACAAAGAAGGGATAAACAAACTTCATAGACTCCACATGGCAATAAAGACAGTGAAGACAGATCAGGAGGAATTCAAGGTGAGCTGAAGTTGTGTGGGAGTTGGGAGAGGAATATGCAGGGAAGTGGGTCAGACTTACACTGACACAGGTGGCCATGGAGTAAGGGAGAAGCCAGAGAAAGGGAGTGAGGTAAGTCACCACTAGTAAACCAGACATAAGGAGCTCTAGTGGCGCAGTGCCTAAAGCACTTGACTGCTAACCAGAAGGTTGGTGGTTCAAACCCACCAGCCATTCCATGGAAGGAAGATGGGGCAATCTACTTCCATAAAGATTTACCACCTCAGAAACCCAATGGGATTCACTATGAGTTGGAATTGACTTGATGGCAGTGGATATGGTTTTGGTTTGGAGTAAACCAGATGAGACCTACAGCTCTTGAGTTGATTCTGACTCAGTGACCCTTTTTGGGACAGAGTGTAACCGCTTCTTGGGTTTCTGGGGTTGTGGATCTTTGAGGA